TATCACAATAATATAGCTATGAACAGCATTTATACAACAACGCCCCTATTATATCAAAATTACTTCTATATAATTGGTTTCGCTTAATATTGTTCTCTAAATGGTGCTGGGCAAGACGGGGTTATAAATAAATGCATTGTACACTTGTATCAACCTGTTATATTTGGTTCTTGTTTACTATTGATGGTGTCTTTGTTTTCATTTATGTGACGCATCTTGTCAATCTATTGTATTTGTTAGTAAATCCGAAATCCAATCATTGCCCAGTGTAACTTAAATCAGTCACCTACGTTTATTTATTTAACCGTAGCATCACTATTGTTGCTATCCCGAAATACCACAAGGACTAAATTATAATAAAAACGCGGCAGCTCTTGGTTATGAAGACCTGGTGATCGCGTCATGTGTGGCACTTTTTGCCTCACGTGTTGATGTCCAGTAACAATGGTAGTGTCAGGTTATTGTAACAAAATAATAATTGTTGTATAAATGCTGTTTATAGCTATATTATTGTGATATTCGCGTTCGCGGGCTGTGTTATGAAATCGCCAATATACTATCTTATGCATTTCTGCGCACATACGAAATCTAATAAAAAGGCATAGCAAGAAAAAAATTTAATTAAATTAATGTTTGATCGTAAAATTTGAGCCTTACAGCTGCATCTATCAACCTTATTCATGATAAGCCAATATATTTTTGGAATTGTGCGACCGCTGACTGCAGCTGCGATCCGTAGTTCTCTTCAACACTTAAATGTCATGCTGTACTAGTGTCTTTTGGCACTGAAGTATTATATATGGAAAGTTTTTATCCCTATCACCTATCATAAGCTAACAAAAATAACGATCTTAAAAACTTGGTTATAGGAATCGACATGCGGCATCTATGTTACTCACTTGCATGAATCTTAGATGAACTCGATAAAGTTTACATTACGTAACCCGTGATCAAAACACTTTGCTTAAAAACCATGTTTTTCTACCTCTTGTTCCTCCCATTCTAACAACGAACTTCGTCTCATGGCAGATAATTACTTTCCCTATACGTATACGTCTGATAACGATCACAACCTTCAGCACCGCTGGGTAATTATCGACGAGGCTCAAATAATGACGTCGCCCGCTTGTCATCAAAAGCATACGCCTATTTTGCCTCACATAGTCGTTCCTTTTCCTCCGCAAATTAATCCGAAAGATCTTATTATCAAACAAAACAAGAAGAGCAAGAAGGCAACAAAACCACCGAACGCTTTTATGATATATCGGATGAGGTACGTACAACAGCTGCATTCCAAAGGTTATAGGCTTCCGATGCGAGACTTATCGCCGCTGATATCAAAGTCATGGCGTGAACAACCTGATATAGTTGTTCAACACTATGAACAACTCGCAAAAGAAGCAAGCAGCTACTATAACGAGATTAATGAAAGGGTTCCAAAAAGACAGTCTGAACCTCGTCTACCGCTTTCGAAATCGAGCTCTACACATTCGCCGGTCTATATGTCTGCTAAGGAACCCATATATCCTCCCCGTAATGGGACTATTCCGGTGAGGAATTCTTGCACAGAGCCTTATCAACATTCTCTCTGCGGAAATGTCGATAAGCATTATAGTCAGCATCCTTCGCATTACCATTCACCATATCCATATTCGCAATTACCTCCTACACTATCGCAAACTACTTTTCCAAGTAGCAACTATGTGGACAATACCCGAAACCCGTTTACGCTACCTAGTATTAATACTATGTCTCACATGCCTGCTCCGCGTAGACTGGCAGATACAAGCAATATTACATCTAATGCATATCCTGGCAGTCTTTATGGAAGTTGGGAATAAACTTATGTGAGTCTGTGCTTGAACATACTTAAATAAACAAAAAATTGGGTTTTCTTAATAAGTAAAGTAAGGTAGATAATAAATAATAATTTTCTAATTGTTCTTTTTCTTGGTTGATTCTGATTATTCCGCTTTTATCAATAATAATTCTAAGCATGCATCTTTGTTAAGATTTGATTCAAAGTTGTTCCGCCTTTTATGTTTAAGAAAATGCTATGATTTTTTTAAAGTCAGTCGATCAGTCGTTCATATGCATATCGTTAGATTTTCAATGTCATTGTTAATATAGCGGTTGTTCTTATTTTCTTTTTTTGTTTGTAATAAGCAATAAATAAGTTGTTGAATAAGAGAAATGGTACTCCAAACCGTGAAATAGATAACTAGAAATGACAACTAAGTTAGACAGAGATGTTTGTACAACAATTGTCACCTGATAATCTGCGACTTTCCAACGCGAAAGCTTACACTCGAAAAGACCGACAAATGGGGTAATTGAGTTTGAACAGCAATAAACACGTGCGCATCAGAATTAAACTATAATCAAGTCATGCTTAAAAACTGTTTCCTGGTTTTGCGATAACTTTCGTACGACAAATAAGCCAACCGCACTTAGCTGAAAAAGTAAAAAAATAAAACACATCTCCAAACCGTATGTCACAGCGTTATTAATTAGTGAAATCTTTCATTATAGTATAAAAAATCTTAGTCTACACGAATACACAACATGTAGTTTTTGATTGTATGGGCTTAATGACATGTCTATATTGCTTTAACCGTTTGGTCTAATGACCGTTCACTGCTTTAACTATATGGTTAAATGAATAACATACAGTGGTATGATTGTAAGATTATCATACATTATTGATCATACGGTAATAATAATTATGATATGATAATTGAATATCGTATGAGGTGTAAATCACCAGTTAAAATTGAAGAAATTTGTGTTACGTCTTACACGTACAACGTGAGACTGATGTATACAGACTGCGTAGTTCTACATCACCCAGATCTTTTTTAAAGTTGCTATATAGCATATAACTATTATATTTACGCACGACAAAAGACCAATAATTTACATTACAATCTCCAAAATTAAGTACTTCCATTATAGTTAAAAGGGAAGATGCGCTTATTTTCTGTAACTATCAGTAAAATATATATTCCAGTTTCTTCCCATATTAAATATTTAACAGTTACTTTTCAAGAGTGAACTTACGTATTATAAAAAAGTTTTGAGGCTTTGTTCAACTAAATTCCATCACTAGTTTGTATTAGGAGAAGTAAATTTGTGCTTGCCAAATAATTTTCCTATTCCGCGAGACAATTTTATTTTAAACCTTGCTTACGTTTGACAGCAGTATCAGGACTAATAATTTTTAATGTAATTGTAAATTTACACAATTAAACCAAACATGAGATGGTTTATGTTTACGTCAGTATTACTATTGACAATAGTGTACACTTGGGACTAAACTTGTGCTTGCATTGAGAAAAGTTTTTTGGACAAGATGATGACATAAGAAAGTAGTCGGACCCAACAAATTTTTTTCTTGTATAGCATTACTAATATTAAGAGTACTCTATGTATGACTGTCTTTATTTATGCAAAACTTTGCTTACACAATTCTTGTTGTCAGAATTTTGTATTTCCAATTACTGTTGTCACTTACCATGCTTTTCTTAGAATAACATAAACCTTGAACAAAGGGCTCAATTGTCTTAATCCCGTTATTTGACTGATAGATTATAATGTAAAACAGTCTTATATAATCTATCACAGAAAGCGGTTGACAAAATGCGTTGATATGTTATTATTATTATAAAGAGAGAGTAGCATATTAACAATTTTTTGATACTACTCTTCTCATGTCAAAGCGCTCTTATAAATTTGCGACGGGAGCCGTTCACTTGCCCGACAAATATTTACCAGCATTATTTCAAAGTTATCCTTTTTTGAGTAGTTTTTGTCGGGCAAATGGACTGGACTCCTTTTTATATCGAGAGTCTTTATATCGTAAGCCACTTGTACTTTATCTTTTAGAGTACGGCAATTTAGAATGGCCAGCGATCTAAATATAAGATGCTTGTCGTATGTTTCGACGTTCACAGTTGTTTGTCATAAGTTTGTCGCGTATTTAAAACGCCGATGTATAACACTGCGGTTGCTGTACTAATATGGTATTTTAGCTCGTGCGCCGTTTGTGAAAGAAATTTAAATTATAACAAGCCCGGTACAAACCTTATTATTTTAATTTAATTTTTATAATAAGATCTACTGCTGACATAAGCAAACATGTGTAATTATTTGCATTATGTACTGTACAATGTAAGATGTAAATTTTGAGTTAACAAACAAATCATTCTACATTATTGCATGCCTTCATATTTGATTGACGGATTTCCACCCAGTAATGTAACCATCTATAACTTACTCTCCTTAATAGATTTCCCTATTCTATCTCTATATGCTTATATGTAATTTTTATATACAATGCTGTAAGGTATTAATATACACAGTATTGTGGTGTTGAAAAGCGTCCATTTTAATTGATAACATTCTAAGTAAATCATAATTGTTAACAGCCGCTTTATCTACACCCTTGTTGGTGCCGAGGTAACCGATGTTTCTATAACAATACTAATACGATGATGCATTACGTCATCTATAAATTTACACAAACTGTTGGATATTATGTATATCGAACAATCCTAAAGAGAAAGTCATTGAAATAAACACAAAAACGAGCATCTATATTGACTATAGTAAAATTGATAATATTTACTGAGTCCCCTTGACCAAGAATGCCAAACATGTTACAAATGAGTCGGATTATTTATGCAGTGGTAACAAGATTTTAAAACATTACTAAAACGCTTGACCTTTAAATTGACACATGCGCCGAAAAATACTAGGCAACTATTATGTTATGTGAATTAATAATCCTGTTTTCTCTCTCAACCTAACTCATTCCCAGTATGGTTGATTATAATAATACTAATACTGTTGCTTTTCCAATATTGTAGCGTTGCCGGCTTTAACCAAGTTCTTATACATATAGTAAGTACAAATATACATAATTTTTCATGAGATGTTTTCAATATCAAATATCATTAATTTCAAGCAAATTATACGCAAGTAATGACAAGTTTGAAAGTGAGCCTGAAATTAGCTACGTAAATTCCGGTCTAACATACGACAGTACCAATTATGGTTTCGTAGAACAACGTACTTTTACTTTGTGGTTACTGTCTTCACAGCTTTGACAGAAAGTTGCGATAGTTTTCGATGGGTTTCCAGGGAGAATGATTCCAGATTTACTGGCGGTTAGGAGAAAAGGCGGACACATTTCAGTTCAGACAGACACATATCCCATTTGGAACTGACACATATGTCAGAATAGTACCAAAAATCTGTCTACGATGCGATGGTCACATTATATATAGTTACACCCTCCCCTCTGCCAATTTGCATAGCATTACATAAGAAAATTTTCCCGTTTGTAGTCACCTCGGTCTACATAATCTCCATTTTCTTTTTTAAAATTTTATACGGGTCAAAGGTTGACTATAGACGGTAACTCATTGTACACATAATGCGAAGTTAATTATATAAAATTATCTTAATTTTGGTAATAATTGTTATTAATATTACTATTAAATAAAAATAAGTTTAACCAGCTTTCTTTTATTATAATTTTGAAGAGAGTACGAATGAAATTACGTGTTAAATTTACATGTACGTATGTAGTTCGGTATGAAGGATTTTATTAGATTATTCCAATTCAAATTATTACTTTGAGCAATTATTATGTAATTTAAACTTAGTAACCCCATTCTACAACCCCTTTTAGTTCTTGTCATATGCCTTTCTCTAAACAAACACTCACGTGTTGTCGTCTCTTTTTTGTTTTACGCGGCATTGTTAATTATAAACAAGCGTCGAATGTTTGTTACTAAGTTTAATGACCAAAGAAAGTCGATGAGATGTAGACTGAAAGACATTGGGTATTGCAAGGCCGATTGTGAGAATGTGCTGGTTCGAGCGGATAATTCCATCAATAAAATTCTCATTACGTAGTCCGTTTTAATTACAGTGTAGGCCGATATACATGTAACGGTTTGTTGAAGCGAATTTTGCTTGGTGCGAATTTTTTTTTGGAACTGGAGCGTTACTAGTTAAATAGAGCGGAATTACTATTAAACAAAAGCTAGAGAATTATCAGTTGTGGGTAGATTATAATTATTTCTCTCCTCTTTTTAATAAACTATCAAAGCCAGACATTTTTCTTTATTTAATACTAAATAAATTAACGATTATTTATTTGACTGTAGGGTGTATTTGAATGTAAAGTTTAATTTGTGCATAATAAAGTACAGCTGTCAATAATTGTGACAGATTAAAACGAAATCGGATTAAAACGAAATTTTTTCTATTTTAGTATAAAACTTATAAAATTTTTTGGGGGATAATTTTTAGCCTTTTTTGGGAAATTTGGGTTAGGATTTAGGATACCATTTGTTAGTAAAGAGTATATGTGGGTTTAAAGGCATTAAAAGGAAACCCAAAAGACCCCAAAATTTCGTTTTAATTTGATTTCGTTTTAATCCGCCACAATAATTAACGTCAACGTGAAGGCAGGCATTATTCCGCGATAATTCTGTACCACCGAAATTTATGATCTCATTCACTGACACATTTATTATAAAACGTGGGGTGTAGAAATAAGAAGTAAACGAATAATCCCACTTTAACAAATATCACATGATTATATATGAAAGTTCGTTATATAGTTAAAAGTCCGCTTTAGCGAATAGTCCGCATTAAAGAAGTTTTTTGGCGGAACGGAGCTCTTCGTTAAAGCGGACTTCACTGTGTATACGAACCATTAGCAACCAGCTGAGCTTCGAATACAAAATGTTGATATTTTGTAAACCATTTAGTTTTTAAAGAAATACTTAACACAGAATTAAGATCTAAATATTGAAAACCTTTGCCGTTTTTATAGCACTGAGCCTTGTTGTGCTCGATGTTACTGTGGTCTTTCTATAGAGCTTTTTAATCAGTCCGAAACTACCTTTACATTGAATTTAGTATGCCCAGGTACCATGAAATTATTTAATTCGATAATTTCATAATAATCGCAAATTACCAAATACAGATAAAATCAAATGGTAGCATTATTTTTATTTTGACCACCCGCGTTGTCACAAGTAAATTTTAAATGTTTTCACCTTTATTCAATCTCTTAATTCTATCGAAAACCATAATTTCGTCCTCATCAAGAACATATAATTAATTGGTTCGCGTACTGCCTAATGTGCCAAGGCCGGTTTACCTTTCGGGTAATCCCCCCCCTTTACAAAAAAAACTGGCTAATCAAACTATAAGCGCGAAACCACGCTTTAAAATTAGCACGAGACAGATGCCAAGAACAATTCACTAAACTATAACAAGTTGCGCTCCATTTTTCGTCGCCAAAATTGCTCACAGACCGACAAATTTTACCAGGGTAACTCGTGGTACCATTTATATTTGAAGACACCAGACTCATCGTAATGTTTGCAGTTGCGAAAGACTACTTACTACTGAAGCTGGTGCTTTGGAGGTTCGTTTGACGCAAGCTATGCACCCAGAACGTGGAAATCTGAGACACGTGGTTTTTTGATCGACGTGTGAAAAAATTTTTTGATCGCGTCCACGTATCGAGGCAAGAAATTGTATCTCACCTCGCTTACTTCCAGATTGCCTTAAATGAGGATTGCAAAAGGCTGCCTTGAAAAATTGCGTTTTCCTGGTGATTATATACCTTCCAAGTGTTTACTTGCAGAATTGAGTCGCCATTAATTCCTTCTTTTACAGGTTATTGGGCAAATACAAGTAAACCAAACCTCGAGTCTTTTCTGAAGTACCGTAGGAAGATGTGTCCAGACGTAACATTGAAGAAAGACGCCGAACACAGAAAATATATTGAAGATCTCAAAGTTATCAATGAACATTATGGATTTAGCAACGTCTGCATATCGAAAGCGCTCAACGTTTCTGAGGTGAGTAACTTTTTGGAAGGAGAAGAAGGCGGAGCCAAGATACATTGTCGACTACTGTTGCGGGTTGCGACTTGCAACGGGAACGGTTGATGACTCCGTCGATGAGCGTACAATCCCAATATGGGTAGTATGAACACTTGTGTTTCTCTTCTGGGGGGCTTCCACAGCTCAATATCTGCACCCTTGGGTCCTAGATTCGCCAGAAGACTAAGAGCGAGTGTTGTGTTGTCCATTTCTTCATGTCTTTTTTCCTTGCTTGTTTGTTTGTGATTAACTTGATATTAATATCCTTTTTTTTTATCGAGGCTGAAATGAAATCTGATGCTGTTAATGCATTTTGGAACGAAGAGGCTGAGATAACTCAGATCAGAATGTTGGAGGTTGTTGCCCATTGCATTGTTCAAATATTTGTATTTTTATTCACTGTCTGTCTTTTAGTTGGCTGGTGCTCGTGACATGCTAGAGTTAGGAAATGGCCACCTTAAAAAAAGTGCAGAAGTGGCCCAAGAACGCCAGGAGGAAGTTCTTGAGAGTCTCTCCAAGTCCTCGGTTAATTGGGAACAAAAGAGGATGAGGCATGGTATATATTTATTTCTTTAAAAAAACAGCTATGATAATGGAAAATCATTAATATGAAACACTCTTCTGCCCAAAGTATCGAATAGCATCCCGATTGATTCTCCAAACAACTCGTTTATCACACCAGTCAGGTCTTCTAAGCGGAAGATCGAAGATGATAGCAATAGTGACAGTTCAAAGGTGCAGATGTACAATTTTTTAGTTACAAACGAGAAACAACAGAACTGATTTTTTAACTCTTAGGATGATTATGAATATACAGTCAATAGAAGACATCTAAATAGAAGGGGAAAGAGAATCCTACGTTATGATGAAGAATCTGAAGAGGAAGTGATAGAATTGGATCCCAGCGCTTCAAAAAAGTCTTTTGTGGAAAATTATAATCAGATGAAGAATGAATTAAAGTGGACACTGAAATCTACAGGACGTGTAGTAGAAGATGTGCTATATGAAAACATATCAGATTTTATGTCGGAGCAGTAAGAATTATTGTTTGAAATTTTTAACATATCTGATAATCTCACTGACAGCTTAATATTTCAATAGTTTAGTACATTCATTTACAATTGATGTGGATGATCCGATAATTCAAGAAATATTCTCTTCAATTGAATTGGAAGAAATCGAGTTAACTAATGTTAAGGAAGAACCAGATTTAAGTTCTGAACTCTACAAACATCTTGCAAAGTACTATGATAAGGTTTGTTGAAAAAAAACGTTTATGCACCAGACTAACGGCAATAATAGAAATCCCACACATTACGTGCAGACGTATTAATAAATCTATTATAACATGATTTCTGTAGACTACTGTAAAGGGGATCAGGGAGGTTTTGAACGAGACTGACCTCAATGGTAGCGACTTTGAAATTGATACCCTTACATACTCAATATTCAGTTTGTAAGTATAGTATCAGTATTGAACACTGAAATTAAATGGCAAATGAATAATTAAATGTGTGCTATTGACAGGGTACGACAATATGAACGTGTTCCGAATGCATTTTCTTTAAATCAATATGAAGCATGGTACAATGTTAATGTGTGGGGTCCAATAGTTGACCGGGTATATGATGATATTCCAAACGTTAATGTTGTTCGGTAAGTAATATTAATATTGAAATTTATGTATTGTTAACTGACAGACTGATCGCAATCTTTTATTAGTGGTGATGCGTCAAGTCTTGCTAGTTCTCATCGAAAAAATCGCCATCGTACTTTGGATACTCGGAAAAATATAGGAAGAAAAGGGGATGCAATAATCCGAAAATGTTCAGGTGGCATAAAACTTGAATTTGGAGGAGCAGAAGCAGGCAGACACTATGAAGGACAAAATGGGACCAAATGGCTCAAAGAATCAGGCCTTAAGCTTCCGAAAATGATGCGTGACATGTTTGTTGGCCTGTGCGATGATACACATTGCAAGTGGGGTATGGAAAAAATGAAGTCGATGGAAACAATTGGATATATCCATGGCGGTATGATATCATCATATTTTTCTTCCAATCACTCGGTGATATTAATGATTTGTATTTATACATCCTCTTACAGGATCCGCTTTAATGATCATGACACTAGATCTTCCAGCTGGATATATAACTCGCCTCAGTAAGAGTGAACTCTATTACATACCAGATAACATTAGTTCATTCAGTAAAGCGATAGAATTAATTACGGCAGTGTGGAAGAGTAAGGTAATACATATGTATTGCTCAATGCCCTACTTGATTTTTCTTATGTTGACCAAATAAATATTGTCCTGTAGATGCGGGTTGTCCGAACTATGAAGACATTACAGCGCGATGAAGAAGATAGTGTCAGCCGTCTAAGAAATATTTCTTCACGTAAACAAAGTAATTACATTAACCGCCACATTAACAAGGCAGTGAAAGTTCTTCCAGATAATCAGAAGACTCCAAGTAAAAAGAAACATGATTAATTAAATAAACTATAATTTAGTTTACATTGTCGTTACAAAAAAAAGAAAGTCAAAGAATTATGATATACTCCCGGGCAAAAGTCTGTGCCCCAAAATATTTAATATAGACTGATTCATGAACGTGATTTACTATGAGAACCCATTATAACAATACAAAATTCTTGTAAAGCGACGTCATAAATACTCTGACCCTTCCTATGTGTCACACTCCACTGCTGTGGCTGGTGAGATCATCACATATTAAATGCCGCGTTATCCAGGTAAACTCTTAATAAACTCATTGATATACTGTTATACTGTATAACGCGTGTGGAAATTTACATGTAGCCTCTTCTAATAGACTATTGGGCAAGAGATCCCAGTTCGTGGGGGGATGTGGTGGATTGGGACATATACTTCATTAAGAAAATGCCCTCTGCAGGTTTCGTTAAACTTCGTCCCGGCCACAGCTCAAGGCACACATCAGGTATTGTCTCAAGAACTAGACATACTCATAAAATCTTCGCAGGGAGCCGCGGACATGAGAAGGCGTTAATGTTGCACACTTCTCTTAAGGTCAGTATTTTGTTTGTTTCTTTTAGGAAATTCCCAACGGATGGACTTGTGAAGACATGCCCCGCGACTGCGTCTTTACCTGGATGGGAGAACGCACATGTAACCATGTTGGGAATTCTCGATCACTCCTGCGACTGCGTCTCGAACGATTTCATTGCAGAAGGCAAACATGCGCTCTTGCCCGAAGTGGGAGGTGTTTTTGTGTTTTCGGACTATTGGGCTCAAAGCACATCTGAGCGAGTGTAGTTTTATTATAGACACAGTATATGCTTATAATACGCAATATTTAGCAAGAAAGCTCTCAAATTTACGCTCTCCAATAAAACGAATACCAGTCGACGACTTTTTATGTCAGCGATATAATAAGAAAGTCAACGAACTCTGGCAAAAACACGCAGAAGAATTAAGCTATCCATAATCAAGTTAGCAAGGTATATTTACTTTTCCTTTGTGGATTTATCTGCTTGTGATCTTGATGATATCTACATCTTAGTTTTCGTTTGATTTTTGCAATATAGGAAGAGATCAAAACAGTATCCTTGGAAAACGTATCGAAAGAGTGGGCTATGGATATGAGTGTCCAAGATAGCTATGACTCTTCAGATATTACTGAAGAAAGAGTTGAATTTCGACAAGAATGCTTCTAATAGTGCTGTAATTTTTGGGTTCCATAGTGGATTTAATGTCATGTTAATATTTTTATATATAGAGGTAATCCTATATTAAACCTGTTATGGTTTATATTCATCACATTCTGGTATGATAAAGGGAAAATTAAAATTAACAAGTCCATAAGTTTGTTACGATCGGCGTCCACAATAGGGTTGGGAGAGCAATTAATTGCGTAGGTGTGTTCTGCCGAGAGGGGGTTTTTCACAATTTA